CCGCGCTCGGCCTGCAGCTCCTGCAGCTCGTCCTGAGTCTGGCGCAGCTCCTGCCAGGAAAGGGGAACGCAGGAGGGTGTTCCGGGTTCTATCTAGCTGTCGTCCCAAAGCCGCAGGAGCTCAGGTGGGACGTGCCGGTGGTGTGCTCAGGACCGCCAGCTGCTTCTCCAGCTCGCGGTCCCGGTGGCGCTCGGCTACGGCCTGGCTCTGCCGCTCGGCCTGCAGCTCCTGCAGCTCGTCCTGAGTCTGGCGCAGCTCCTGCCAGGAAAGGGGAACGCAGGAGGGTGTTCCGGGTTCTATCTAGCTGTCGTCCCAAAGCCGCAGGAGCTCAGGTGGGACGTGGGCCGGTGGTGGATCGCGGGGTGAGACGCTCAGCAGTGCCTTGGTCTACTGCTGAGTTCACAGCGAACGGAAGGCGGTGAAGCCTGGCTGGAGGAGGTGGCTGCCGGCTAAAGGTGGAAGGGTCCGTCTCTCACCCCCCCTCCCTTGATCACTCTGCCTGCCGCAGCCAGGCCAGGAGCTGTTTGTCTTCCCCTCAGCCAGGCAACTACAACTGAAACCTCCACCCACTGTGAGCCCAAACAAACCTTTTCTCTTTACACTGTGGGTGTCGGGTGGGTGTCTAAGCCACAAGAACATATAACTAAGACACAGGGATGTGCAGAGCCAGACGGCGGGGCTCCGGCTGGTGGAGAAATAGAAACTCTCACAAGGTGTGGGAGGGAAAGTACAACAGTGTGGCCACTCGGGAAAGCAAGCTGTTTCTGAAAAAGCTGAATGTGAAACTTAAAATGTGACTGAGCAGTTCCACTCCAAGTTGTATGCCCAAGAAAGCTGAAAATATATGGTTCACACAAAACTTGTATATGAATGTTCCAGCAGCATTATTCGCCAAACTGAGAAATGCTCCAAATGTCCATCAGCCGAATGGACAGAATGTGGTACAGTACAGTCAGAGTGGAATGTTATTCATCCAAAAAAAGGGCTGAACCCTGCCTGCCTCCCAAGTGCAAGGTCCTGAGTTTGATCCCCGGTATCCAAAAAAGGGGGGGAGGTGCGGGAGGGGGGTGGAGATACCTGCTACTATCTGGTTAAAACTTTAGATAGCAGCTATGGTTTGTCAACTTTGTGAATAAACTAAAATACACTGGATCGTATACTTTAAAAGGAGGAACTACCAGGTATGGTGGTGCATATCTGTAATCCCAGCATTCAGGAGGCTGAGGCAGGAAGATGACTACAAGTTTGAGGCCAGCATAAACTACATAGAGAGACCCTGTCTCAAAACAATAAGTGGAGGAGTTGTATGGTATGTGAAATATAACCTCATTCAAATAAATAACACGCAGGGAGAGTAGATCAGCACGTGGATCTAATAAGAATGGCATCTAGGGCTGGGGACTTAGCACAGAGGCGCCACGCCTGCCTCGCAAGCGCAAGGTCCCAAATTTGATCCCTGGGTACCACAAAAAAAAAGAAAGAAAAGAAGAACTGCATCTAAAAAATATATATTGAAAGCCAAAAATATGTTACAATGAATACTGGCACATCTCTAATTTCTCTTAAAAAGAAAATTAAAGGGCTGGGGATGTAGCTCAGTGGTGCCACACCTGCCTGGCAAGCTCAAGGTCCTGAGTTTGATCCTCAGTACCAGAAGAAAAAAAAAGAAAATTAAAATTAAAACATGAATTCTTATTCTAGTTATTATTACTCTTAAAATTCAGAAATAACCATAATTAGGTGGAAGAGCTATGTAACGTAGTAAGTCTTCAGTGTAAGATATGAACAAAACTAATTACAAAGAAAAAAATAGAAGACAGTATGTTCTATGTCGGACCTGACCAGTCTGTTTTCCTCGTGTATATTTTGTTTACTGGTTAAATACTTGATAAAATACATTTACCATATGAGATTGAGGAAACAGAATGCATTGCTTTTTAGTTTACCCAGGATAATAAACCAACCGAGACATCTCAGAGATCTGTCCAAATTCACTCTGTCAGCTAATGTAGTTAGCATTCTTCAGACTATTCTCAATATTTCTTAACTTTAAAAGAACATTTAAAGGGCCAGGGATTTAGCTCAGTGCTTCCGCTGCCAGCCTCGCAAGCGCAAAGACCTGGGTTCAATCCCCAGTACCAAAAAAAAAAAAAAATCTTTTAAAAAGTTGAGTAATTTTAACTTCACCACTTTTTTAGGAGTTTTTCTGAGAAAACAAAATGTTAAGTCACAAAACATCATTATAATCACCAAACTATATTTGGTTAAAATTAATTTAATTATGTTTTTCTCCATCAAATGTTTTGTTAGCTCTCAGGTTTTGTTTACCTGAGAAATAATGAGCTTTATGTATTTCTTGGCTCATTTAAAATATAATTACAGGGGGAAAAAAAAATATATATATATATATTGATATAATTACAGGGCTGGGGATTTAGCTCAGTGGTCCACTGCCTGCTTCACCAGCACAAGGTCCCAAGTTCGAACCCCAGTACCAAAAAAAGAAAATATATATAATTACAGGGGCCAGAGATTTAGCTCAGTAGCATGCCTCTCAAGTGCAAAGTCCTGAGTTCAATTCCTGATACTGGAAAAACTAAAATATTACAATTAGGCATTTATATAGTAGTGATGTTATAAAGAAAAAAAAGCACTGAAACATGATATGTCTCGGTGGCAGAGGATTCGCAGGCCTGAGGCCCTGGGTTTAATCCCTAGTACCAGTACCAAAAAAACAGGACAAAAAAATCAAGCATTACCGATAGGGAAAACTTTAGTAGTGAAAACCTAGGAAAAGTCACAAAGTAAGAAAACTTTGCCTTTCCCTGGTTTAATCTCACCTAGAGGCATCTACTCTAAAAAGTAAAAAAAATATATATATATATATTGATATAATTACAGGGCTGGGGATTTAGCTCAGTGGTCCACTGCCTGCTTCACCAGCACAAGGTCCCAAGTTCGAACCCCAGTACCAAAAAAAGAAAATATATATAATTACAGGGGCCAGAGATTTAGCTCAGTAGCATGCCTCTCAAGTGCAAAGTCCTGAGTTCAATTCCTGATACTGGAAAAACTAAAATATTACAATTAGGCATTTATATAGTAGTGATGTTATAAAGAAAAAAAAGCACTGAAACATGATATGTCTCGGTGGCAGAGGATTCGCAGGCCTGAGGCCCTGGGTTTAATCCCTAGTACCAGTACCAAAAAAACAGGACAAAAAAATCAAGCATTACCGATAGGGAAAACTTTAGTAGTGAAAACCTAGGAAAAGTCACAAAGTAAGAAAACTTTGCCTTTCCCTGGTTTAATCTCACCTAGAGGCATCTAGTCTCTAAAAAGTTTTGTAAATGAAAAGAACCACTGTTAGCTTTGTTGACCAGATACCTCCCTTCCCTTGGCTAGAAGAGAGAAATCTTAAAGGTAACTTCCCCTAACAAAGAATGGCATTGAAATTCACCTGCCTCACCACCACATTTTGATTATCAGCAAAATGAACTGTGAAAATGCAATTTAACCAACTGAGTAAGATCAAGGCTGTAGAACTCTACAAAAGAAGTTGTAACCCAATGGGGAGTCAATCAGGGCACCGCCATTAGGGGTGATCGATCGATCCCCGCATCCCCATCAATGGAGTAAACTTTTTTATTTTACTCCTATTCTTTTGCCTCTCTATGTGTCATTTGCTGATTCCTTCCCTAACATTACTATTTGTTAAGTGAGCACATACTACATGTCCAGGAGTGTAGTAAATCAAGGAAATGTAGAGATTTTCAGGGGGTCACAAATGCCATTTCCCTGCAATGAAAAGATTTTCTCAGTTATCCAAGCTATCCAAAATGGTGGCCCTCTTACCCTTCACAAGCTAAAAAGCAAGGCTGTGCCCTAGAAACTGGGGAGTCGGCAACACAAGTGCTCCAGTTCCTTTGAGGAGACTTCTCATGAGCCACAAACCAGATTCTAACTGTGAACATTCGTTGTGTTGTGTAGTTAACAAATCCCTCCAAAGACAGAGCAGCTTTTGCTGTGCTACCAAATCAGGTTTGTGAGCCTACAAAAATGACCCCAGCATTTCACAAATCCACCTACTATTACTACCTGCTACCCCTGAGTGTCTTGGGACACAGCCAGTGGCCTTTGGCTGTCCTCAAGCTGGAACTCAGAGGCCTCCATTGGAAACCTCTATGCTTGTGAGGAGACTGCACACACGCACAGGAGACAGGAGAGGCCAGAAACCCACACCCGCCTCTCCCAGGTACCTTCTTGAGCTCTTCAACCTGGCGAGTATCTCTAGCTCCAGCTCGCGCCTGCTCTAAATCCCTCTGAAAGATTTCCATCTTCTCCCCAAGCTCCTCTTCCATCTCTTCCTTCTCCATCCGTAGCTGCAGGAGTCTGAGCCCGGCGAGGCGAAATCAAGAGGAAAGGAACAGGGTCAAGCCTCCCACCTGGGAGAGGTCGGAAGGGCAAAGAAACCCCCTGCCTAGGCAGCCGTGCCCCTCACTGCCCCAGGTACCCAGGCCCAGGAGGACGGAAGGGGATACGGGAAGGGCAGTTTGGAATGGGACAGAAGAGCAAAGCATGGGGAGGATAAGCAGTGAGCTACAGGGGTCCCGGATAAACAGGTACGAGGTCCTTACTCCTGCTTGGCGGCTCGAAGCTCCTCCTTGTTCTTCTGGAACATGCTCTGCCAATGCCCTGTCTCCTCTGAGGTCTCCTCCAGCTCCCTCTGCAGCTCCCGTACCAGCGCAGACATCTTCTGCCTCTCAGCCTCCAGCGCTGCCTGATCCTGGGAAAGGAGAGGGGGCGCCAGGAGGCTCAGAGGGAGCAGCTCACTGCAAGGCACAGTGAATGTGTAGGGGGAGGCGCAGGCCTGGAGGGCACCGGGCCGGCTGGACCCTGACACCCTGGTGGGACCTGGGACAACACTCGCAGAGGGTTCTCTCTCTCCAGATCGCATCCACCTCTGCCATCCACAGAAGCCTCCCCAGGTACTCCCACCGGGCCCGGCGCCCTCCTCTCCCGGTTCCTGCACCCGTCACATGCCTGGCTTGCGTCCTGCATGCTCTGGCGGAGCTGCTCCGTGTCTCGCTGGCACTGCTGCCGGACGTGCTCCACCTCCTGATCACGGGACGCCACCTCCTCCTTCAGGGCCCCCTTCAGGGCTGTCAACTCCCGCTCCCGAAGCCTCAGCTGCTCTTCTACCCGCTGTTTCCCGTCTAAGACCTCTTCCAGAAGTTCCCGGGTCTCCAACAGGTCCTGAGGAAAGGGGAGGTGGAAACACAGGGGTGACTGCAGGAGAATCCATCGGTCGGTCAGTACAGAATCACCACAGAGCCCCTTGGGTTAGACACGGTGCCAGATGCTGGGCTCCAGCCTCGCCCTGCCTTTGAGTCGGCCTGACAGCACACTAAGCAGGACCCAGAGCAACTCCCTGCTCCCCACACTGGGGAAACCTGGGCGAGGAGACCTGAGGAGGCGAGCCTGGGGTGCACAGCCCCAGCCCTACCTTCAGGAGCACCTCCTTGGCAGGCTCGGAGCCGGGGCCCTGTTTCAGCTTGCTCTGAAGTTCCGTCAGCTGGGTCTCCAGCCCATGCCGTACCCTTTCCTCCTGCTCCAGAAGGAGCTTCGTGTTCTGCAGCCTGGAAACAGAAAACATTACGGAACACGATGGGCCAGGCAGTTTTCTAAACGTTTCACATACACTGATTCATTTAGCCCTCCTTCAAGCGATGTTTTTTCAAATCTTTTATGTTTGTTTTGGTTTTGAAGTGCAGAGGACGGGACCCTGGGCCTTGCGCATACCCGGCAAGCACTCTGCCACCGGGCTGCACGCCCAGCCCATGCCAGTGAGGTCCTCCTACCTACCTCATTTAATGCTGCAACCTGGCCCTCTGGATCTGACCTAACCTGCTCTACTCGCTACCTCTCACACGTTACACATTTACTTACATAGCATGTTTATTTTACTGTCTGCTCTTTCTCACCAGAAACTGAGCTTCTGAAACCGGGTGTGGTGGCGCACACCTGGAGTCCCAGTCCTCTGCGAGGCTGAGGCAGGAGCATGGCAAGTCTGAGCCCAGCGTGGGCAACTCACCAACTTAGTGAGACCCTGCCTCAAAATAAAAAATTTGTTTAAAAAGAAGCTAAGCTTCTGGCCTGTATCTGCACGGCTCAGTGATATCCCAGGAGCCTAGATCAGTGCCCATCACCAGAAGAGTGACTCCTCACAACAATCCTGTGAGGTGGTACTAGTATTACGCCCATTTCAGAGGTAAAGAACCTGAGGCACAGAAGCAAACCCAGGTAGCCTAACTCCAAACACACACCATTACTGACAGAGACAGTGAAGGAGAAAAGCCCGGGTTTATTTGTTTATTTATTTTGGTACCGGGGATCAAACTCAGGTCCTTGCGCTTGTGAAGCAGGTGGCAGAACCACTGAGCTAAATCCCCGGCCCCAAGGCCTGGGTTTAAACCACCCTTGCTCCTTCAGTTTCTGGGGATTTTACTCACGCTGATTGATTCATTTAAACCTCATCTAACTGTTTGTTAAAATCTCTTATGTTTGTTGTGACTTGGGTTTTTTGCTTTCGTGCGCAGGTGCAGGGCATGGAACCCAGGACCTTGAGGATGCTACCCAAGCACGCGACCACTGAGCTACGTTGCCAGCCTGGGTTCGAATCCCAGTGAGGGTGCTCCTGACTGCAGGCCCCTGGGCAGCCCGCCCCTGCTCACGCCTTGGTGCTCTGCTGGGCCTCCCCCTGCCTCCTCTCCAGCAGCTCCTGCAGTCGGGTGCACTCTTCCTCCTTCTCCTCCAGCTGCCGCTCCAGCCCACCTCGGACGGGCTCGAGCTTCTGTCGCTTCTGAAAAAGGCAAGAAGAGTAGAGCAGATAGAGTAGGTAAAGACTCCCAGAAAGATGCAGAATAATGAGAATGTGCCGGGCATGGCAGCGCACGACTGTGACCGCAGCAATTGGGAGGCTGAGGCAGGAGGACCACTTCAAGCTTGAGGCCAGCCTGGACTACATAGTGAATTCGAGGCCAGTCTGAACTACAAAACAAGGCCTTGTTTTGAAAAAACAGCAACAGCAGGGATAGTGAGAATGCCTCACTTTGTTGGACACTCACTATACAGCAGACACTATATTAGGGACTTCGTACATATTATCTGCATTTAATTTGCATCACAAGCCTTGGTATGTGGGACAGTTTAAAATACATCCAGAATCCCCTGACATTCCTTCCAAAAGATGAAGCCTACTTCTTTCTGCTCCTCACGAGTAGGACTAGACTTAGGGACTCCCTTTTGACAAATGAGGACGTGGCAGGCAAACTCCAACGGTAGGTCCTAAGAGGCACTGAGCCGCCTCCTTCCTTTTTCTCCTGGTTCACTGAGTCTGAGGAAGGACAGCTGCCACATTTAATGGCCCTCAGCTCTAGGAAAGGGTCCAGGCAGGCAAGAACTGAAGCCACACTCCCACAGCTATTTGAATAAACCGTTTAGCAGCAGATTCTCGAACGCCGCTCAAGTCTTCTAACGCTGACAGCCTCAGTCCAAAACCCGGACAACAGACCCTGAGCCAAAACCACCCAGCTGGGCTTATGCTAGGTCCTTGGTCCAGATACTAGGAAATGCTCCTTTTGAGCTGCTAAACTGGGGAGTAATTTGTTACACAGCTATAAACAAGCAAATAATAAACCCCAATGGTACAACAAATAACATTTAGAATCAACAAATTTTAAAGTTTTTGCACAACAAAAGAAACTAAGCAGAGTGACAGCTACACCTCAGACAGAGGACTAATACTTAGAATACAAAAATAACTCAAAAATTTAGAACCCCCCCCCAAATAAGAGTCTGATCAAATATTGAGCAAATGGATGCAGAATCCTCATCATCTCATGGTCTCTTACCTGAGAAACCCAAAATATAAATAAAAATTAAAGAGCGAAATAAAAAGTAGATAGGAAACAGGGAGATAAGACTTTCCCAAAAGAGAAGGGGACAAGAGATGGAGAATAGGGAAGGGAAGGGAATAAAGAAAGAATTACGAAGTGTTCTGGACCCGTACAAACTCCTCATGATAAATGTTACCCTATGTACGCCAACCATATACTAATAAAATGTATAAAAAGGAATAAAATAAAATAAAAAAAACAGCCAGGCGTGGTGGTGCTATAATCCCAGCACTCAGGAGGCTGAGGCAAAAGGATCATCACAAGCTCAAGGCCAGCCATAAACTACATAGTGAGACCCTATCTCAAAAAAAAAAATACAAAGAGTACGTAGGTTTTAGAGGACTGACTTGGGTTTTTCCATTCCTTCTCTGCAACTTACTACCACAGGCAATCCATTGAACCTCTCCGATCCTCACTGTTCTCATCAGAAAAGGGTCCCGGATGCCTACTTTACAGTCACTACAGTGATTACACATCACCCAGGATGGCATCTGCTACAAATGTTACACTGGATGAATAACAGCTGCTGTTATTGCCATTGTCATTGTGATGACGAAAGGCTTGAAGAAGTTAGGAGTGGTGGTTCATATTCCGTCCCAGCACATTTGGAGCCCAAGGCAGGAGAACGAAAGCTCCAGCCCAGCCTGGGTAGCTCAGCAACTTAGTGAGACCCTGTCTCAAATAAAAAAGGATGGGAATACAGTTTAGTGTGAAGGCCCTCAGTTCAATCCCCAGTTCCACAAAAAATAAGAATAAATTAAAAAGGGCTGGGAATGTAGCTCAGTGTGAAGGCCCTGTATTCAATCCCCAGTACCACACACACACACACACACACACACACACACACACACACACAAAACACAAATGACTTGAGGCACCGATAACCTGAATCATCTTTTCAAGCCTTGCATAGCCAGTACGTGACAGAGCAAAGATGAAAAAGAAAATGGCATCAGGGGTCTGGGATTTAGCTCAGTGGTGCCATCGTGTGCCTCGAAAGTTCAAGGTCCCAAGTTCAATTCCTAGTACTGCAAAAAAAAAAAGAATGAAAAAGTAGCCGGACCCCTCATATGTGCTGCCTCCCTAGGCTCCAGAGAACCTCAAAGGCCCAGCTGGAGCAAGGGCACACTCTATCATCTCTCCTCTCACAGGACTGAAGAGTGCTCGCTCGAATGCTCGAAGGGGCCAGGCTAGCCCTCCTCCAGGCCCAGGGCTTCTCCCACGACCCTTCATCCCTGGTACATCTCCAACCGCTTCTCACCTTTACCTCTTCAGCCAGCTTTTTCTGTAGCTCCTCCACTTTTCGGGTGAGCTCGCCCTGCCCTGCTAGGGCCTTGGTAGAACCAGGAGCAACCATCTGCCAGAGAAACAAGGAGCCAAGGGAGGAGGTGGGAGGTGGTCCACATCCAGGCCCCCAGATACCACGCAGGCCCTAACCCTAACCTGAGCAGAGGAAGAGGTACTTACCGTGAGAGGCTGCGTCTGCTCCAGGACCAAACTAACCTTTCTCCACACCGAGGCCTCACTTTCCGAGCTTCTGGAGGGAAAAGGACAGACCCAAGACTGAACGTGCAGAGATAAGGAAGCGGGAGGGAGATGGAGAGGGAGGTCAGAGTAGAAGAAGGGAGACACAGGGCCGGGGACTGAGCTCAGTGGTTCTGCTGCCTGCCTCGCAAGCACAAGGACACAAGTTTGATCCCCGGTACCAAAAAAAGGGGGAGGGTGCGGGCCTCTAGGCTGGGCTGAGCCCACTCACCCCTTCCTCAGGATGCCGTAGATGGTGGCCTTCACGTGGTCTGTGCTGCCTGCTGGGGCAGCCTCCTGCTGGTCTCGAAGGAGGTCTGGAGTTGACTTGAACTGCAGGGGAAAAGGAGGAAAAGGGGTAGGGGAAGAGGAAGAAGAAAAGGAAAGAGGAGGATTAGTTCCGAAGTGTGTATGGGGTTCTGGAGGAGAAGAGGGAGCAGCCGGGAGACAAGGCCCTCCCACGGCGGTGAGCAGCACTGCTGGTGCCCGAGCACTGACAGGCCTCCCGGAAGCCGAGCAGGACACAGTGCTACGGTGTGGTCCAGACCTTTTTCCTCAATAAGCAGATCTCACCAGCTGCATATGCTACCACATCGTGTGCTAGTCTATGAATGACTTGCCTTTAGAACAGACCCGCGTTGTTCTCTAAGTCAACTCACTCCGCCACTTACCTGGTTCCTGAGAGGAGGAGAAAGGTACGCAACTCTTCTTACAAGGGCACCCGGGAACTGTCCCTATCCTCTAAGCTCGCGGTGAAGGCGCTGCACCCAGCAAGTCAGCGTTTGCTGTCGCTAAGGCAGGGCTAGCAGCTGGGACAGTGACAGTAATTCTCTATGCTTCCCAGTGACTCACAGTGCCATTTTCATTAGTATTTTACTCAAGTACCTCGTGTGTATGAATTTCATCTATGTGGTGGATGAATGGAGAAAGAAGAAAACGAAGGCAGGGGCTTTCTGCCGAGGAGATCTAGGTTAGCAAGGAGTCCCAGGGCCAGGCCGGCCGGAGGTGGGCAGGGTTGGCTCTGACCTGCAGCAGGGCGGGATCGGGTGCTCTCTCCCTCAGCTCCTCAAAACTCTGCAGGACCCAGTCCTGCGTCTGCCGGGATCGGGAAAAGCCGCCGCGGAGGGGGCCCGGGCTCGGGCTCTGGGAAGGCTGCGTGGCGCCCTCCGCGTGGCCGTCATAC